AAAAAAAAAAAAAAAAAAAAAAAAAAAAAAAGGAATTGAAGCACTGAAATGGCAAAGAAAGACAAACTCTCCTCACAGAAGTTTTCAAAGGTAAGAGTCAACCTTTACGCAACAGTGTTTCCTCCAGGGATTACAGCAACACCAATGGTATCCTGCTCCTGACAGCTGGTTCAGGGCTTTTCTCTTCTGGGTTTCACAGTGCTTCCCACGGTCGTGCTCCAAGACAGTGCTGTCCATGCCTCGAGCTGGTCAGCTGCTTCTGCACATCTCAAACCAGGATTTCTGTGTAAGAACTGCTCCTTTTCCTCTCACTGGTGAGATCCACAACTGTTAGGACTAGGAGAAAAAAAAAATGAGCAGGTCAGATTACATATATCATCCGTGTATGTGGAGGTTCCATTTCAAACAGGAGATGCCTCAGAATCCTGCAAAAAAAGCCAACAGATGGTCATCTTAAAATCTGACCCAGAAGGAAGGATCTTACGAGTCTGGAGAAACAAGATGACCTGAGGCAAGTCTGCATAACTCTTCTCGATGTTTTACATATTCACCATTAAACCCCCAGATACACAGTCCCGTTCTGAACCTCTCTGAAACAAGATTTTTTTAAAATTATTTTTGGTTTGGTTTGAGTTTTTTTAACGATCATTTCAGGTGTGACAATCTTTTCCAGCTCTCATGAGTCAAACTCCGTATTTCCAGCTAAGCTTCCAGAAATGGATGACTAACATTTTCACCCTCTCTGTTATGCAACTGTAAACACCTACATATGGTCTCTTCCACCTAGGTGAGTGACAACATTGACCCAAGTTCTTAGGCACATGCAGCCGTGGTTTCCACATCAAGTTTTGCCCAGTGAGATCACTTAGTACTTTTAGCAAATGGTGCTGAGGCATACAGTAGTTAATTTTCCACCTCTTGTTTCCAGAATATTATATCAGTGGTGCCTTGAGAGAATTTTAACTTTCAGACTTTCAATCCTGTCAAAAGGTGAAACACCTTCATTGTTATTTGGATCCTGGATCTGTAAAAGCAGGAATTGTAATCTCAGTTTATTAAATTTTGGAGCAGTCTCAATCCTTTCTCTCTTTCCTCTGTTAGGTAGGAAACAGTTAATTTTAGCAGAAGTTTGAGGGTTGGTCTTTTTGGTTGTTACTGGATTTGGGGGTTTGGTTTGTTAGTTATTTTTTTTCAAAAAAAAAAAAAAAAGAAAAAGAGAGGACCTTCTGCACTGCATTTAAATTTAGCACATAACAGCAGTGCTGGATGCAGCTGACAACTACATTGAAGAGATGCGAAGAAGAGGAATCAAAAGTTGCACAAACATGCAGCCTCTCTTGTGCCAAATGACCCAAAGCACTCCAGGCAATGCTGACAGCAGAAAGCAGGTATAGCTTCCTTGACCCTTCTGTTATCTCATAAACCAAGTTCTATTTGGACACACTGTCACTGAAAGACACTCTGCAGCTTTCAATACTAGAATCAGGACTGATTAATAAACAAACTGGAGAAAAGCAACTAAATAGCTTTATTTTTCCAAAGTCAAACTGCACTGACAGAGTTTCTTTTGGCCGACAGCAGGAGCACTGCAGGCAATTCTTATGAGGCAGCTAAAGGGGATTCCTTTTTAAAAATACAGTGTGAAACCATTAAAGCCTTGGTACCACAAGAAATCTAACAAACAGCAGACAAAAGTTTTCCAGCAGAGGCAGGAAACACTAAGACAGTGACGTCAACACATCAATTCTGCCAGTGTTTTCCTAGGAAGCTGCTGAAACACAGTTGTTTCCTTAAGGTTTAAGGATTTCCTTTTAATGAATTACCCTGATATTTTAAAAACTCAAGTTCTTATGAGTACACAACATTGATTAGCACCAAATGTACTGGCTAGGCTCTGAGGGTTTCCATCCTGAGCTGTCAGCTGGAAGCAGAATGATTCTCTGACATCCTACAGCAGCCCTACTGTCATACAGATCCATATATTTATAGGGGCAGCAAACAGGTCATTACATTGGGATTTTGGACTCCTCATTCTGTTCCTTACTTAGTCAGTAACCTTAAAGTAGATCTATTTTACAGATGGGAAAAAAAAACCAAACCAAACCAAAACAAAACAAACCACCTAACATTGGCTTTCTCTGCCTAAAGGGCTTTGATATTTACAGGTGAAGAGATTAAAATACCATTTTTCATTTTGTATCAACAGCAGTAGGTTATGTAGCTGTCATAAAAACCTATGGATTGCCAGTAATATTTAGAAGCTTAATATCCTCAACATACTTTCAAGATCCCCGTATTTCTTTCAACAAGCACTTGTCTTGGAAAAATGTTAAGCTAGGTAAGATTTAGTGGGCCTTTTCATTCTTTCCATGTACAAATAAGAAGGTGTGTAAATTGGTAAATTAAGCCATTAAAGGAAAAAAAAATAAAATCTCTACCTTTGCTAGACTACACTTCAACTTTGATGAAAAGCAGTTCATCCTCAAGGCTTCTCTTGTCTGTAGATTTAAAGAAAAAAAAAATAATTAAATGGAACTGTTTCTCAGAGTGTAGAAAATGTTCTTATAATCCAGAATAATTGCTAAGGAGACCCAAGTACCTTTCTGTCCAGGAGTGTCCCAAACAACAGGATGAAGAATCCCTAAAAAAATGCAAAACCAGTTAACAAAACAGTATAACCACATGATACTTCTTAAATCCTTCTAGATGTCATTTTCTTAGTAATAGATTTCATCACCTATGACTCAGAAAACAGCAATGTGTAAAATTACTTTATCCACCCAGGACACACGGGTTCTCTGGGAATGTCAAGAATGGATATATAACCCATCCTCATTCTCCTCATGAACTGGACTGATGGGTCACATACCAGGACTTTCCCAACCCACTCAGTAGCAGCATTAGCTGAGAAGAGCCAAGGCAGGCTGGGTATACAACAGTGTGTCACCTAACACTGGGTGTTTTTACTGATGAGTTAAATAAAACCATCTTAAAAGGCAAGTGAGAATTTTCTGCATATTTGTTAATTGATGAGACATCTTCACAGTTACCGGACATTAACCAGTGTATTTTATATTTAACATCACAGAATTATAGAATCATTCAGGTTGGAAAAGACCCATGGGATCACTGAGTCCAACCATCAGCCTGACTCTACAAAGTTCTCCCCTACACCACATCCCCCAACATCTCATACAAACAACCCTTAAACACATCCAGAGATGGGGACTCCACCACCTCCCTGGGCAGCCCATTCCACTGACCACTCTTTATGTGAAAATTTTTTTCCTAATGTCCAGTCTGACCCTCCCGTGTTGCAGTTTAAAGCCATTCCCTCTTGTTCTGTCACTAATCACCTGTGAGAAGAGACCAGCACCAACCTCTCTACAATGTCCTTTCAGGGAGCTGTAGAGAGTGATGAGGTCTCCCCTCAGCCTTCTCTTCCTCAAACTACACAGTCCCAGACCCTTCATTAGCTCCTCATAGGATTTATTCTCCAGGTCCTTCACCATCATCTTAATTTCTTACCACATTTTACACCAACTAGCTTGTTCCATTAATGACCATCAACGCAGGATGTCTAGAGCATGTACCGTGTAAAATAGCTGAGTCAAAAGGAAAGCTTAGATCCTGCACAACACATGCTGCCAGCCCCTCTTTGACCCTTTTGACTTTTTCCCAGGCTCAAAGTCTGAGTGCACACTATTCCCAGTCTCAGAGAGTTTACCTGGAAGGCATTCAGTAGTGCAAACGTAACATGGAATGCCAGAGAATGACTGTCGACAATTGTTGCTAATCCAAAACCCCAGGTTAGGCCCAGAAGAGGTGTCAGAAGGGCCACATTTTTGCTAATTCGGATCATGTTACTCAAATCTTGTGACTTGCAGCCTTCTCCAACAGAGGATCTCCCAGTCTTCACTACAACCACTACCACCACCACCACATTCACAACAATGATGCTCAGAGCAGGTACAACAAAGGCCAAAAGGGCTTTCGTCTCATACCAATTGAGCCAGCAGACTCCACTCCTTAAATATCCTTTTTTTGGTTCAGTAATAGCAACAGTGAGAATAGATATAACCAAAGGACATCCATATCCAATAGAGAATGCTGTAGCTATGAATACAGATCTCGCTATCTTAAAAAAAATTAATAATAATCCATAGAGAATCAAGAGGCCCAGGGTGAACATCCAAAAAAAAAGGGCAAGATAGAAAAAGTGAAGGAAAAAAGTGGCTGCTACACACAACTGGTAGTTTAGGGCTGTATTGTGCACAATAGCAGCTAAGATGAACAAAACATCAGCAACGAGAAGCGATGTAGCAATGTTGACCAAACAAAAGTGGCGCATGTAGGTTATTTCAGTTTTTGTAACGTGATGCCAGACAACAGTCTCGATGATAAGGCAGAGAACCAAGCTGAAAATGGAAAGGCCTAACCCTACACGTGTAATGTAATCCAGCACTGCATTTCGCAGCATGGTAGGGGACATCAAAATGGAGAAGGATTTGAATGTCCGACGGTGATGCTTGCAGACGCAAACAACACTGTTGATGTTGTCTGACTTCATTTTGCATGCCCTGTTATCCCACCTCCTTTCAGTAGAGTGCCACCCAACACACTGAGCCTTGATGTTCTCCAGTTTATTCATCTTTTCAAAGGTGAGCAAAATATGCCGGAGCTCTTCTGGCAGAGACACCGATAACACCATTCCATTCACTAAACCAGGGTCCAACTGGTTGGTTTCTATAATGGCTCCAAGCGTTGGAAATGCAATGCTAATGGCTTTGGAAGTCTTCGGTAACTTCAGAAGTTCTTCTTCTGGAATGACCACTCGCCCAGTGATACTGCCTGTGTTATTGAACCCCATAGAAAAATCAAAGCTCTTTCCAGAAGTATTTTTATGTATGCTGTAGCCTTTTGTAGAGATGAAGTGCTCCTGTATACTTTCCGACCCGTTCCTTAGAAGAAGTTTCCCAGCAAATAAATTCACTGAGTCCAGTAATACCGAACTGGCATTTCTGTCCTTTACAAAAGCCCAGTTGGAAATGATAGAGCTGTTCAGAATATGGTTTGCTATCCTGCTGTAGCTCTGAAACAAACAAGAAAAAAATATAGTGGGTTTTTTATGTCAAAAGAAACCAACTATTATTCTACTGTCAGAGCCTCCAGAAAGGCTCATTTCATTCAAGAGTAATTTCTATAAAGGGAATATTCTTCTTTGACAATGAACAGGATCCCATGATCCATCCCAGTCGAACTCAAACATCTCATTGGCATGGTCAAACAGAGTTGTCCTATGCTCTTCATATCATGGATTAAAAGGTGATTGGAGAAAGAAGTATGAAGCAAAAACCAGGACACTTAAATTCTATTCCAGACACTGACCTGCTATGCAGGTCTGCTTTACATCACCCTCCCTATATTTGTTCCCTATCTCCCTGAGTTCATCAGGGAAAGATTTCAGTTTCCATCATGCAACACATGACAGCAGCTGTGGGTCAGCATCTCCAAGGCTGCCTTCCCTATGGTGTCATACTTGAAAAATAACTTCTTCCTTCTACTGCTCTCCCATGTCTGTAACAGCAGTTCCTGGAAACTTTTGCTTTTAAAGAAAGTGAATTCTACAGAGTACTTTCACTACACATGAATTGGTCAAACAGTTTCTCTGACAACAAAATACGTCCCCCTCTGCAAACTCTTTCCAGGTGTTCTCCAAGTGACTTGCAGCCACCACTTCACTGGCTAGTGGCTATATGGACAAAACGCTGTAGGGATGTGCTGGCAAGCTCATAAAAACCTCTTGAAACCCGTAAAAGTAAATACCTGCATTTTCCCCCTATTGACATTCTCTGATAACAACAGCGAAATCTTCTTTAGCAACTCCACTATATCAGCAATGTTTCCTGGAATGGCTGGTGAAGACAGGATATCTGGGATGATGCATGAAAAATCAGCTTGGCAGTTACTATTCCCATGTTCATCAGCACCAAAATATTTTGCTCCACCTCCAGGCTTCCCATGCACTGGATTTCTTTCCCCTACAGAAGAAAGGTGTCCTCCAGCAACACTAACATGTCCTTCAGAGCTTGGAAGGAGTTCACGTTCAGAAATCCTCTGGAGGGAGAAAAAAAAAAAAAAAAAAAAGAGAATAAAAGTGAAGCTACAGCTACAAGCAGGCATGAGGTACAGCACTGGGGTGTGCCACGAATGTGCTGGATTGCCTCAAACACGGGATCAAAGCTCACCCGAGAAGAATGACTTGTTTGTACAACACACATGAAGGAAGGGGCAAGAACTAAATGCAGTGCCTTAATCTTGAAATGACTTGAATGAAGTTATTTATTTTGTAGTTGGGGAGAATTTACATGAATCATCCGATTATTACAGATACTGGCGTTGCTCTTTTCTCAGGTTCATCCTAGTATGTCATTGTCTTGGTTTAGATCCACATGAGGAACATTAGCCACGTGAACAAGGCAACTTCATTTCAGAATTATGTTTCCACACAGGAATTTCTCAAATTTATTTCCCATGACTTGATTTAAGATGAAGTCAAAGCCTGTTATCGAAGTAATCTGTGTTTTAGGATCCCATCTCCTTCCCTTTGATCAAGACTGAAAGTGTATGGAGGGAGGGGTTGTCTTTGCAAGAAATTATGAGTATAGGCCAAAGTAAATGCATAGCAGTTACCTCACCTGAAAAAGGGACTGAACATCCAGGCTTGCACAGTCATCTGTCAGCATTTGCCACTTTCTGTCTTCACAGACAAAGCTTGTCTCCCCATGGAAGGAGGGAGAACAAGGTTGAATACAAATGGCTCCACTGACTTTACAGGGAAAGAGATTTATACAGCCATCTGAAAATTAAGCAGATACTGTTATAAACTGTAAGACAGCATACCATGGTCCATGAGGTATCAGAAGTGTAACATATTGATAACTGATACCATCTCACAAAGCATTGACACACAGCTATTCACTGTACCTTGCTGATTATCAGTCTTTGATTCCTGACCAAGTACCTGAAAAATAAGAAGTGGATTGAATGTTAAAATAAATAAGCAGAACATGACTCCTTGGCACAAACCAGAAAGGTGATTTCAAGGCTCAGAAGGCAGAGCTCATGGCCCCTTGCTCGTACAGACCAACTGAGAACTAACCGTTTGTCTCTATCAAGCCTTCAGCTGTACCCTTCTACTGAAGTGACCTGAGCTAGTGGACAGGCTTGCACATGCCTCAAGCAGTTAATCCTCAGACAAAAAGCCTGTGTAAAGGCTTAAGCTCTCCAGAGTTTCTCATGTTGATGAGAATATGTGACTTGTTGATGAGAATATGTGAACTGTATGACTTTTACCATAAGATAAAGCTACAGTTGTACTAATACCAGTAGCCATGTTTTTCCTCTCCTGATTAGGAATCGACCCCAAGGCAGGCAGACCGGGCTCCTGCAGGCAGAACTGATCACTGGGACTGCGTGTCCTACAGCCAGGCACAATCTTGAACGGCTTCCGTTGCTGTGTGGACAAATGCTTTATCATCTACAACCAGCCAAACCCTGTCAGTCTGGGAGCAAAGCTTGGCTATGCGATGCCCTGGAAATCGCACTGTTCTTGCTGGGCACAGCAGGATTTCAGCAGATTTCTAACACTGCAAGAGTTGTGCTGGAGGTTGCCTGGCCTACTGAATGTATTGAGCACTTCAAAGTAATTCCTCCTGTAGTGACAGGACAAGGGGCAATGGTTTTAAACTGAACGAGGGTAGATTTAGATCAATTTTTTACGATGAGGATGGTGAAATACTGGAACAGGTTGCTCAGAGAAGTTGGGGATGTCTCTCTGTGAAAGTGTTCAGGATCAGGTGGGATGGGGATTTGAGCAACACGGTCTAGTGAAACTTACCCTCAAAGTGGCGCACGACGTGGCCAGGAAGAAGTGCACAGCCCAAAGGGGCAGGCAGGGGGCTACCCTCACATCCATCGCCTCGCATTCACTGCTTTCCTCCTGGAAGACAGAGATGTTGAACAAGTTTAGGCATCTCTATTTTCACTTTTGAACACAGTCTGGTTGCAAGTAAGATAGCAGCTAAACTCATGGCAAAGACTGGCCTTGCAAGGTGATTTTCAGACATTTATCATTCATAAACTTTTTTTATTGAGAAAGATTTGTGAACCTTTTCTTATAAAAAAAAAAAAGTCTGTCCAACACTGGAAGTTACTGCATTAATAACTTACTATAAACTGTGAGGTGGAGAGCTTATTAAAGCAGTTCAGCCTGTAGGTCCCTATTGAAGTGATTCAAGACAGCCTCATCTCTACTGGATTCAAACACTGCTACTCTCCTCATGCAGTTCCTGATGAGACCTGCCATGTGCGGTGGGAAACTCGGGCCCTCATGGCTCAGATATCCAAATCTGAGAAACAAGGATCAGACTCAAGTGTTATTTGCTTTGCAGAAGGATTCAGGCATCTTATCCCTCTCTGGAGTTTCCCATGGTCCTTGGTAAAAGCTTAATATCCTGGGATGCAGCTTGCTACAGGCATAGTTGCTGGAGAAAACTAATCCAGTAAAGGGAATGAGGAAAAGATAACGTGTTAGATCTGATTATTAGATGCTATACATGTTCAAGGGAAAAGCAACAACTGCTGTGGATTCAGAAGAACTGAGACACTGATCTTCTATCACTGGATGTATAAGGAGATTATAAGCCACATACTAGAAAAAATAAAAAGCATTAAATCAGTGAGCTAAAAAGCTAAAGCATGAAACAAATGCAAAGTAGCAAAGCAGGATGATGGCTGGATTTCAGGAGAAGCACACATGAAAAAGCTTGTCAAATCATCATGTCCTGACAGGGGCCACTCAGTTTTGCCCCCGATTCATACTGATCAGGACAGAGGAGACTGAAACAGAAAAGTCCTGATCTGATGGAGCAGAGACGTGTTTTCCTGTCTAGGAAACTCCAAGGCCTCACCATGTGACAGCATCAAAGGGCCAGGCAACTGGCTGCCCCTTTCATCTGGGACATTTGTTCACCTTAATATATTTTTAAATCCACAGTTTTATTAGTGAGTTATGAAAAGATCATGAAGGGAAGAGCTAGATTGGATGCACTGAATTTCTATGCTAGCTCTAAAGGAGAACCTCATGTCAGCCTCTTGAATTCAACTGGTATTAGGAAAAGCATTTTCTGGGTTTAAAGCTAGCAACCATTGCTCTTCTAAAATGGATAAGGAGAAGGGAACCAAAAGACTTGGATTAATATTGCCAAAAAACAGGACGTGGCTGGGAAACTCCTACAGGTTTGAGGCAAAGGGTTGTATGGAATTCTTTCCCTATTTCTGCAGTCATTAAACATTTATTATATGCTTATACCCCTAATTCCATTTTACAGCTGGGAATCCATGAGCTCATCATGTTTCATCATTAATTAATTCATACTCATTTTGTGTTTAATCACTGATGTAACTCCACCTAGGGCTCTTATCTTTAAGTGAGGTAGAAATCTGGGACAGCTCCAGGTATCTAAGACTCACCGAGATGGCCCATGTTACCAGTGAAACACTGATCCTGCTCAGTTGCACTGCTTGACTCATCATGGAAACCACCCAGCCTCACCACCAAAAGAACATGCCAAGGTAACCACTATGCAGCAACAGAAACTTAGAGCAAAACAAGTAATACAGCAGCACAGCAAATCACTATCACTTTAGGGGAAAAAAACCCATGGATATACTGATATAAGGTGAAAGCGTATACATCTATCCCTGTCTCCAAAACATTCATTTATGGTACTTTAGGCAGTGCACGATACATATCTAACCATAAACTATCTACGGCCATTAATGACTGCTCCGTCAATACACAGGCACACGATCAGCTGATCTGTCAAAATCCTCTCACGTGGAAGGGAGAAGGGACTTTCTAGTAAGAGGACACTTCCACATCCTCAGGTATCTCCCACCCAACCCCCAAGATTGTCACGGGCTGCTGATCCTCCTTCTCATCTCATTTCATTTAGTCATTGCACCCAATGGGGGGCAAAGCCCTCAACAGGTGGGAAAGAGTGAGGAGTGACTAGACAGGGGTTACAAGAGAGAGACTCTTAAAAAAATAAAAAAAGGTAAATTGATCATGTATTTAAAAATTAATCCTTATGTTGGTTAATGTACCATAGCCTTAAATTCAAAGCCCTTACTCTGTGACTTCTGCTGGTTAAAACTGAAGTGTTTTGTTACCCCAAGCACTTTCTTGCTCTTCATTTCTAGAGGATGTATTTCATGGCAGCCTGGCCCCGTGTGGTCACAGCTACCAGAGGGATCAGCCCAAGCAGCAACAAGTGTGGGAACCCTTGTGGGAACCCACATCCCTATGCTGGTGGACCCAAGGCCTCTGGATAAAGGGTTCTCCACCACCTAAGGTCACAGATTTCCCCTCTCCACTACTACAGAAGACAAACTATAGTTAAGGTTTATGGGGAAAAATATCCTGCACAAAAAATTACAAGCACATACCGTACATAATAAAACTGTACACTGAGCTTGCCATGATTAGCTAGACAAACACATTTTCCCCTGCAATTGCATTACACTGCAAACTCTCACTGTGTGTATTTAACATTTTAAAAAATATTCATTCCATTGTTACAGAACCTAATCTATTCTTTTTAGGGCTTTAATGGCTACAAGGCCAGCTTAAAACTCAATACACCACTATAATGTGATCACTTGCCATTGCTACCCAGCAATTTAAAAAGTCTGCAGCAGGAGGCTTTAGAGTCTTCAATATGGTCATCCGAGGATAAAAATTTAGGTTCTTAATTATACAGAATGGTATTAGTTGCATTTTTAAAGGGATCACACATGGAAAATGTGAATTTAAACAATGCAAGTTCTGAGGAGAGTGATCTTCACAGTAACTTCACCTATAAGAAAATTTCAGGTTTTCTTAAAAGGTGACAACACTGATCAGAGGACAATTACAAAATTACAAGCAAAAAGATCAGAGGATAATCAAGATATATAATTTATTTCCACAGATATAAGAAGAATATAAAACCGGGCAAGTAAGTGCAAAGTAAATACAGCCTAAGCAATTAAGTGTATTTTAGACTATGCATGAACCAAGTTCACAGATAATTTTCAAGCAGTTCTGAAAACATGTTTTGTGCTAGTACTCACCGTTTTTATAAGCCTGGGTTCTACTGTACGCAAAATTAATATAGCCAGAGATCCTCAAAATATCACAGGTGAGCGTCTAACCATTCATCTGCCGCCTTCGTGCCCCAGTCTCACTCTTATGGCCTTACCCCACATCGCTTGAGTGCTCTGACTCATTGAGAGTTTTCCCATGAAGAAATAACCTTGGGCATCAGCCTGCTTCTCTTCTTGTCTGACTGGATTAACACTGAGGAACCTGCAGATTACAATAGAGGTATTGCACTGCAAAATGACAAAACAAGTTACAAACACACCCACAAAACCGCTGTATTGCCACCATTGCCAGGTGTCCACAGAGATGAATCACGCCTGCGTGGTTTGTACCCTTCCTCCTGGTGGAGGAGGCATTTTCTGCTCTTCTGAACTTTAAAGACCGAAAAAAAATTTAATGATCAAAATCTGGTCAGGTTAATGCATTACCCTTCATAAATCAAAGATGGCACTATTGACAGTATCTTGCACAGCTAAAAGGCTCAATGAGCAAGTAATTCTCTGTTCTTTATGGGGTGCACCCATCCTAAGGGGTGAAAGTTGTCTGCTGAACCTTGTGCCACCTTCAGTGTTGGCTCTCTTCATATTGCCACTAATTTACAGCAAGTAGTTTATCCTAACATAAGAGCAATTCCTAATGCTTCTTCTACTCATGGGGCTGCTTTGGAAGAACAGTGGTCACTAATTTTTTTCCACAGCCCTACAAGGTGTTTATCATGAGCTTATAGGGTTTCCTGAGCTAATGTCATCTTGTCTGCAGTCACAACTTCAGTCAGTCCTCAGCCACAACGCAGGGTCCCTAGTTTTAGCCTAAAGGTAGGCATTATTTAGCGTTCTGTTTGGATGTAGCCAGCCTTGCATCGCACAATGGTATCAAGTAGGAATTAAGCCAAGCACAATCAGACACACCCAATACAACCCACTTGGAAAGGTTAGATGACTTGGACTTGAAACAGTACCAGGTAGAGGTGAATTAAAAGGTGGCACCTTAGCAACCTTTATTTAAGTCAGAAGGGCCAAAGATCAGACTCAAGATACAGACACCTGTTTTAAAAGGCAATTCTTCCCCTAGTCACCTGGAGTTGTGCTCCCTGAACATTCGCTACAATGACAAGACTGAATACCCCTTGTTTCTCAAACACCTCTTCAGTCTAAGCACTAGTCCTCTGAAGGACACAAAGGCTGGCATGCTTCAGTACTCAAGATGCATGCACATGCTTATCCCAGAAGGAAGACGTGTGAATTTGTGCTTCCACGGACTAAGAAAGATTTTAAGACCTTGACTTCCAACAGGCAAGGTGGGTACTCCAAACCCTGAACCCAGCAGCATCAGTCTCACACTTTATGGGCTGGTTGAGGCTGTTTGCATTCTTCAAGCTGGGAGGTACGTGCCTAGGCACCCAAAAGGGAGTGGTTTGTCTTTTCAGCTCTTGCAAAATCCAATTACCCAAGATATACGACCAGCTGCTTTGACACCGCTCTGAGAAAACAAACTGTCAGCAAATCAGGAACATCTCGGAAAACTTTAATAGCAGCCAAAAATAAGGCAGCTGTAAAAATTTGATTTTACTATTTCCTTTGGAAAGAGTTAACAGGCTTCTGCTAATTTACGACTTCAATGAACACAAGGTATTTATTTAAAAGTTCAACAGATACTTTAATACACAATTCAAAGTCAAACCTTGGAATACATTACAGGTTTTCATCAGAAACTCCATTCCCCTGAAGCAACATAAATGAAAAATGTTATCCTCATGGTGATTGTTTAAA